TACGAGCATAGACCCACCCCCCCCCCCCCCCCCCCACCCTGTCCGGTGCTCAATATGTGTCAGCCCAAATAAAAACCATGGCCGTGTTTCGGGATTGTGTGCGTGTTTGTTGCCGGGCTCGACCATGCCACACATTCCCTAAGAGCTTGCCTGGTTGATGAGCAGCGGGACAGGGCTCAGGAAGCTGCTGCCACTGCCACCAGCCTGGGAAATTGCCAGAAGTTTTGTTTTTGTTTTTGTTTTTTACTTCCCTTGTCTCTGTCTGTCTGTCTCTCTGTCTCTCGTGTTTCGGGATTGTGTGCGTGTTTGTTGCCGGGCTCGACCATGCCACACATTCCCTAAGAGCTTGCCTGGTTGATGAGCAGCGGGACAGGGCTCAGGAAGCTGCTGCCACTGCCACCAGCCTGGGAAATTGCCAGAAGTTTTGTTTTTGTTTTTGTTTTTTACTTCCCTTGTCTCTGTCTGTCTGTCTCTCTGTCTCTCTGTCTCTCTCTCTCTCTCTCTCTGTTCCCATCAGGAAAGAGGAACAGATAGAAAGGAGGAGGCTTCCAGCTGGCTGGCTTTTTTTTCTTTTCTTCTTTCTGCTCTCTTTCCCCAGAGACTAGGCAAAGGGAGCCTCCACAGTGCGCGGGTGGGGAGAGAGCTAGAGAGAGAATTTTTCTTTCGGGCCAGGTCCCCATGCCATGCCATACCTCCCTGCCTCTTGGGAGGCTCAAGGGAACAAATGCTGTTCCCACGGCAAGGCAAATCACTAAATACATGCATACATAAATAAATGCATGTATGAGTGCATGAACAAGCAAATACACACGTGAATAAATGCAAAAGTAAATACGTGATTAAATAAACAAAAATAAATCTCTATATTTAAAAAAAAAAATCCCTGCTGGACGTGATCGGAGTTAATTGGCTCTGCCAGAGTGGGAGCCTGGGACCAGAGAGGGTCTTGTTAAGCAGGCACAGGGGGAAGACAGTTGGTTGCAGACCCCTGGTCCGAGGGGGAACCCTATCCGGCAGCCTGGAGTCCCCATGGAGTGGCTTGCTTTTCACATGGATGCAGCGAGTGGAGGGTGAACCACACAGGGTGTGGCACATGGCGGGGGGAATGTAGCTTGATTTCCCTGGGCGGTAATGCTTCTGGGTCAGCTTTGCCATGGGCCGGAGGAGAGGTAGTGCATGCTGCCGTGTCGTGAGTGGGTAGTGCAGCCCCATGCTGGGCTCTTATGTGGGTTCCACAGGTTGCAGCTCCCCACAGTGCTGTCACCTCAACACAGCTCCTGCAAGTGCACAGCATTGGGATGGGGGTTTCACCTCAAACACCCATGCACTCTTGAGACCCAAGTCCCCCTGCCGCTTCCCAGCGTGCACCGTGCTCCCAGCCTCCACCCTTAGTGCCTTCTGCTCCTTCTCCAGCCAGGCCTGCTCACCTTGTACCCAAATAGCTGCTGAGCAGCTGGAGCTGCCCAAGCATTCTCTGCTCTCGGCTACCTCTTGCCACGTGCCCACCTGTGCCAGCCGCTCAGCTCTCACACCCACAGTCTGCTTAGGCAGCTGCCACATCTCACGACGCATGTGGGTGTCACTGGTGCTGACTAAAGATGGGTTGCAGGGTGCTGTCCTAACTGCTGCTGGAACTGATCAGGCGCTGGGCTGCAATTGTGGATGAAGCGAGAGGGTGGCTGCAGCACTGCATGCCTGAGTTCATGAACACTGTCTTCAGTGTGACCATGGTGGCCACCAATACGTATGGCTTGCCAGCTGAGGAGTACTGCGTGTAGATTGGAGTGACCAGCTGTGGCCACAGAGAAAGA